CTGGGTTGTGCTGTGTTCTTGTTTGTGTTCCACGGGTACTGTGCTGTGTCCGCAGAGAGCTGACTAGGTAGTGGCCTTTGGCCAAGAGATGTGATCTCCATTGAAAAGGATTTCATGCAGCCCTAAGTTGGAGAGATGCTAAAGTGAGAATGGGGGGGGGAGTGTGTCTGTGCTCTAGAAAGTCTACGCTAACAAGTCCGTGTAAGTTTGAGAGTCCACACAGCTAACTGAGGAGTCTCCTGATGGAAGACATCAGTCTGGATATCACATTTATGATAAAGTCATGGTATGTGTTTGAGAGAAGTGCTAGCCTTGTCAAATTCTGGGCTGGCAGCTGCTTCCTGGGAGTCTGGGAGCTCACAGTTCAAGTTCCTCTTAGCCTGGGGGGTGATGTATTTCTGATGTGTAGGACCATAGTGCAACCAATACAACCAGACTCAGTGGTTTGGTAGTTTGCATACTTTGTAGAATGCTGTCGAAAGGTGTGTTTCACTCTTTGCTAAGATCAGCGCTCCATAGGTGGGCTGCTGGAAGAGAGATGATTTTCTGAAGCAAAGCCAGCCTGGAGATTTGTCAAGGGCTGTGGATCACCTCATGTGGCAACGTGGAGTCAAAGCAGCCTTTAGCTTCATATCTGTCCTCTGTGGTAGGAAGAGAGGAACGGTAGCACTCTTCAGCAGAAGACTTGCTGTTCTATCCAACCTGAGGCCTTAGGACTGCTCACCTCTTCTGTTTGGCTCAGGTTCTCACTGTAGTTTGTGTATCTCAACAGATCTCCCCAGATGATGATGCGGTGGTGGCCTTGCTGTGCGAGTGGGCTGTCAGCTATAAACGCTCCGGACGCCACAGGGCCATGGTTGTGGCCAAACTCCTGGAGAAGCGTCAAGCAGAGATAGAGGCTGAGGTGAGTCCTCGTTCCTGGAAGGCTAGCAGCAGTGAAGGAGAGCAGAGGTTACCTACCTCATATTGTCTAACTGCTCCACCAAAGGCAAAGGCTGATAAGCACGATGCCTCTTAACACTGGTGCTGTTCATTATGGCGTTTGCTCCATCTAACCCAAAGTAGGTCATAAATGAGCCTGTGGGATGGTGTGTATCCCATTTCTTGGATACATTTGAAGACAGGTGATTGCAGTGCAGAAGTATTGTCAAACTTGGAGATTCTGAAGTGGTTTACAGAAGCCTGTGTGGTGGCTTTCCTGGAAGTGCAAGATAGAAATTTTGGATTGAAGACTTCTTTTTGGGTTTTATGGATAGTGAGTTTCTCCTCTGTGACAGCAGTTGGTACTTTTTTCTGTTTCTCCAGAGATGTGGGGACTCTGAAGTCGTGGATGAGAAGGGCTCCATCTCTTCAGGCTCTCTCTCGGCAGCCAGCGCTCCTGTCTTTCAGGATGTCCTTATGCAGTTCCTTGACACCCAAGCTCCTATGCTAAGTATGCAATAAGAACTTAGGGTCTCCTGGCTTCTAGCTTTCCCTCTCCTGCAAACTTTGAATCTGTGTGCTATTCTTTTATGTATCTAAATTCTCTCTCTGGCTTCCTTGTCATTCAGAGCATACCTGGGAGAGGCAGGGAAAGCAGCCTGGAGGGCCAGATGACGGAAGGATAAGGTGGAAGCACTTCTGTTAACAGAGTGTTGACCAAGAATAAATTGCTGTAGCCTAATCAGGAATTAAAATTCAGTCTGAGAACTAGAGGGAGGTTTCTGAATAGTAAGTGATAAAGCTCTGGAGTAGTCTCTCCCTGAGAACAGATTCAGGGGGACAGGGTACCGCTCTGTGTGACGCAGCCAACTGTGCATCCAGCAATGACACTTCCACGCTAAAGTCCTTTGCATCTGGTCTGTGAGACTTAACTGGAGAGTTTGTGACTTACTTAATTGCCCCCTGTTGAATCTGGGCTTTCTGCTTGTAGTCCCTGCTGCAATCTCAGAGCGGTCTATCAGTCGCTTACTACGTTGAGATCTCTGGAAACACTTTCTCTAGCCCTAGGTTAGGTGGCTGGTGCTGCTCAGAGTGCTGCAGAAGAACCCTGGTAGCCCTGACTGTCTGTGCTGTCCTTTCAGCTGATCCTGGGAAGGAAAATGAGAAGGTGGAGTTCTTTAACCTGGTGCTGCTGTTCTGTGAGCTAATCCGACACGATGTCTTCTCTCACAACATCTACATGTGCACACTCATCTCCCGAGGTGACCTTGCCATGGATGCTCATGGGCCTCGCCCGCCCTCCCCGTTCGATGACCCTGCTGAGGAGCACGACAGGAAGGAGACGGAGGGAAGCAGTGGCATCAAGCTGGAGGTGAGAGCACAAGCACCGTGGCCCTCCTCTGCACGTTCCTGTGGTGTGCTTGCCCATTTTTACCAGCTTGGGAGCCTCCTTGCTATTCCCTGCTGGAGGGTGTACCAGTGACTCATGCTTCTCCTTCCCCCACCCAGCCTATTTTCCTAGTGTTTCAGTTTGGAAAGTAGAAGGCTGGAAAGGACCTGCAGAGTGTAAAGGGGTAGGCAGGAAAATCTTGCACTGCTCAGAGCAGCAGCATATCACGAGGCTCTCTGTGAGGCCTGTCGATGATATTAGTGTATTAGCCTCCCAACTTGCCAGACACCATGGGTGTGTTGGCACATTGCTGTCACTGTCCCACGTGGACACGGAGTGCTGTACTGTACAAATACTCTCTTATTCCCTGGTGCATCACTGAGATGTGTAAAGCTGCTGGCTCTGTTCCCAGGACACAGGTCTTTCTGAGCCCATGGACATCGACCACAACTCCAGCATGCTCTTTGATGACATGGAGAAGACAGACTTCTCGGTACGTTCCTGCATTTTCTACCTGTTCCTCAGTAAGTAGGTCAGTAGGTTGCAGTGGGACCAGGGACAGCATGTGCCTTGCTTTTGTGTGAGTACTCCCTGTTGTGGTTTGAGGCAAAACAGAATCAATTTTCAGTATTTTTTTCCCTCTATGGCAGAGCGAGTCTGCTGGAAGTGGCTAGGTTGTAAGGCAGCTGACACTGCAAAAAGGTCTATATAACCTGTTTATGCTGTTTGGAGTCCATCAGAGTAGAGTGAGACCCAGTCATTCCTGGGATCTCTTACACTCTGGCCACTGGCAGCCCAGTGTTTGGGCAGGGTAGGAAATGGGCTGCTTGGGAGTGGGTGGGAAATGGATGAGCATGGTAAGACCAGGAGATTGAGAGTGACCAGTTAGTGTTGGCAGGGGTTTTCTTGATGACCTGGGAGAAGACACAGTTCTGCTGTCATCATACTTATCTTTTGCAGGCATAGGTGGTTCTTTTTTCTTTTTTTTTTTTTGAGAAAAAAATTTGCAGGCATAGTTCATGGTTGCAGAACGCTTGGAAGCACTTAGTAATAAAAATAACTTGTGCTGGTTAAAAAAGTCTCAGAGTAGCCACATTCCTGCAGCCATTTCTGGCCTTCCAAGGTACATTAGACAGATGTGATGTGCAGAGCTATGTGACTTTCCCAGGATCCTTGCTTGTTCTGTGGAGGTGGTTGTTCCCAAAATCTGAAGCTGTGGTTATTTATTTCCTGTTGTTGTTAACTCAACATACAACACGGACCAGAAGCAGAAATGGGAATAGTGTCTTAGCACATTGCCTTGGTCATTGCCCTAAGAACTGGATGTTTCTCCAAGCCACCCTCTTCCTGCCCTTGTTTAGGCCTGAGGAGATGTACCTTCCTTCAGCACTCTTCAGTGTTGCATGACCATATTCCCTAGCTACCTTTTCTTGTCCTTTTGTCTCCCTAGATGTTTTCTCCTCCAATGCATTGTGAATCTAAAGCCAGCCCTTCCCCTGAGAAACCAGATCCTGAAAAGGAAGCAAAGCCACTGCTGAAGGATAAGTCTGTGGAAGGAATGCTAGCATCCCTGTATGACCAGCCTCGGCACATCCAGTATGCAACACACTTCCCTATTCCTCAGGTAGGAGATCTCATAACGCTTCCCTGTTGCTGCCTTGTGCTCTGGTCACGGGGTTGCTGTGTTTCCCTACAGTACTGCTTTGGCTGGGTGAGGAACAGTCCTGCTTTCCTGTGTTGCTGCAGGAAGGAATCTACTTAAGATGTCTCCTTGCTTCCTCCCAGAGCAACTTCTGGGATGAAGCTTTCCTTTTCCTTTAGGAGATCCAGATGTGAAACAAGATGAAAGCATTCAGCCTCATGGTTGCTAACACAGTTGTCTCTCTTGGTTCCCTAGGAGGAATCGTGCAGTCACGAGTGTAACCAACGGTTGGTAGTTCTTTTTGGGGTTGGAAAACAACGGGACGATGCTCGGCATACCATCAAGAAAATAACCAAAGACATTCTAAAAGTCTTAAACAGAAAGAGCACTGCAGAGACGGGTTAGTAGAGCTTAAGCCACTCCTTTCTGAAGTAGGAGATTCTTTCCAGTTGGCTGGCTCCTTTGTCTGGAGTCTCACAGTGAAAGGGTTTTATATAATCTACAGTGCCTGGTGAGCTGTGTCAGTCACTGAGAGTCTGGAGTGGTGCTTTGTTCCCAAACACACCAACCAGCAAGTAAGACAATTGGTTTCCTGCTGACAATATCTGTTTAATTGAACTTTTCTTCGTGGGAGGATTAAGTCATATAAGGTTCAGAGTGAGACCGTGGCCAAAACTTTGGCTTTTCCAATTTTATTTTCTTTAGTTCTTGCATTTAGATCCTTGCATAAGAAGCAGAGAGGACTTTGCCTGTGCATATTTGGCAAAGACCTTGATTAAATGTAGCGTACCCTTATGCTCGGGGCACATGCTGAATGCACAGGGTGGGTACTTTGGATAGCTGTGTCAAAATCAATAGAAAGCCTCTGACATCCATCAGCTGAGAATCTGGCTGCAGTATTTTTTCTCTCTTACTCTGCTTTCTGAAAGGTAACTTGAAATTCTTTAAAAGATGGGGTGTTCTGACAAAGAAATTTTGAGGCTGGACATCTCCAATCCAGAACATCTGTTTTTATCAGGGAATCAGTGTACTGAGATCAATCAAGAGAGAAACAAACTCGAGAGAGAGATTGAACAATTGAGAGAGAAAGTGTTTTTCCCCTCCAAGGAGTTACATTCATTTGGGATAAATTAGATGTTAACACTACTGTCATTCTCAGGTTAGGAATTCCCTCCTCAGCAGTATACTGTTTTGAATTCAAGATGGTCCTTATCAGTCTAAGGTCTGGGACTCAAGGTTTTTGGCTTTGCTGTGTGGCAGGGGCTGGTCTTGCTGAGGGACTGTCAGATGCTGATGGTAGAGGCCTCCTCTGATGAGGAAGGTAGCCTGATGCTATTTTCTGACCCTCCCAACTTTGGTAGGTGGAGAAGAAGGCCAGAAGAGGAAAAAGAGCAAGCCAGAAGCATTCCCAACAGCTGAAGATATCTTTGCAAAGTTCCAGCACCTTTCTCACTTTGATCAGCACCAAGTCACATCTCAGGTATGAAACTTTCAAGGCTGCTGTCCTTCTTGGGCCCTGACTGCGTCCCTTTATGTTACCGAGAGCAGCTCGGAGAGAAAGGGAGGTGGGCCTGCTGAGGGACTCCTGCAAGGGGAGGTAGTACTGTGTGTTGCCTTGTGCTTGCAGGTATCTCGCAATGTCTTGGAACAGATCACCAGCTTTGCCTTGGGAATGTCCTACCACCTGCCTCTGGTACAGCACGTGCAGTTCATATTTGACTTGATGGAGTATTCACTCAATATCAGTGGTCTTATCGACTTTGCCATCCAGGTAAGTGCAGTCTGCTCAAACACTTCCTGGGGAGGGGATGGTCAGCCTGAGAGGCAGCAGATCAGTGCTGTGAGGACTGAGCTGCTCCTGGGATCGTTGGTGACCCTCTGACCTGCGTCGTGGCGGTGGTCAGTGCGGTGCTCCCGGGCTGCAGCTGTTAGGAATGGGTTGGCTGTGGCAGGTAGCCTTAGGGGTTCTGTCCTGAGGATTATTCTTCCAGAGCCTTTCAGGGTTGTCTGCAGAGGACTTGCGTGATGTCTCTGTCCCTGGCTGCAGCAAGGCCTTGTTCTGTGTGAGAAGGGGATCTGTCTCTGGCAGCTCTCCCACCTCACTCCCCTGTAAGGATCCTTGGCACATGGCAGTGCAGGCTGCCTTCTGGATCCTGCTAAAATCCTGGTGCTGTTTCTGCAGCCTGTGCCAGGTGTCTCTTGAAGCCTTGCTATGGTCGCTGACAGAATTGAGGCTGGTAGCCTTAAAAAGGGAGCTGAGTGAGATTTATGCAGGACAGAATTGCCAAACGAGCTGCCTGCTACTATCATCTGTGGCCATATCCCAATCCCTCTCTGATATCCAAGCACTGACAGTCCCTTGTGCTGCCGGAGTGAGATGTTGTGTCTAAGTATGGGTGCCAACTGTTCCAGGGCTACATCTCTAGGCAGAAAGCCCCTGCCAGGTCCTATAGGCTGTGGGTGTGGTGTGCCCGCTCCATTTCTGACCATACCTTACCCCTGTGGCTGTTGAAGGGTTTTTCTGTCATTGGGTACAGTTGCTGAATGAACTGAGCGTGGTGGAGGCAGAACTGCTGTTGAAATCCTCCGACCTTGTTGGCAGCTACACCACCAGCTTGTGCCTGTGCATCGTGGCTGTGCTGCGACACTACCACTCCTGCCTTATACTGAACCAGGACCAGATGGCTCAAGTCTTTGAAGGGTAAGGGAGTCTTCCCCTCACCGTGTGGAAGGAAGCAGCCTCTCCTCTGGGGTCGTGTAAGGGGCAGGGATATAGCTGTGTCCTTCCTAAAAAGGTGGAAACTTCATGCCTGAGGGTTCAGCTCACAGAATTTGCAGGGGATAGGGTGTGTCAGTGAGCACTCTTGCTGTGAGCTCAGGAAGATATCTGTGTAATGAGGTTATTCCTTATTTCTTATTGCTGCAGCATTTTTTTGTCTCTACACAGCCTGTGTGGGGTGGTGAAACACGGCATGAACCGCTCAGATGGCTCCTCAGCAGAGCGCTGTATCCTGGCCTATCTCTACGACCTCTATACCTCCTGCAGTCACCTCAAAAGTAAATTTGGGGAGCTTTTTAGGTGAGTCTGGGGCAGGTGGGAGGAAGTGGGTGCTGACCAGTATAGCACCTTGGCTTAAGTGTTGCTTGTGATCTTGTTTGATGGGATTGTCACTGAGATCCTCTCAATGGGGAACTGAAATCTTGGAAGTAGTGCCTGTTTTAGAGGTGGTAATGACCCAGTGTGTAATTTTGACTATTAGATCGTTAAGTTTTTGGTAAATTGGCTTCAGCATTCCTCTGTACCTCCACAGGTCTGTTCTTAGTCCACTCCTAGAGGAGAAAAGTAGAGAGATCTGTTTCTACCAAACTCTGGTGACCGAGCAGTTTATCCTAATAGTTGTTCTCTGCTTGTACTTAGCTCCCTAATAATCCTTGGACTGCTGCTGAACCTGCTCTGCTTGGTTCTGGGTTTGTTCCTGTACTACTTTGTGCTCCTTATCCTTGCTCTGCCCCTTGGCTCTTCAGGTTCTGCTCTGCTGATGAAGCCCCCAAGGTTCTGTCCTGAGGGCTTACTTTTACTCTGTGCCCTTCTGCCCTTTGCAGTTCTTCTCTTGGGAACTGTGCCCCCACCAGCTCCCTGTGGAGCTCCTCCCTTGGCAGCCTAGAGATGGAGTTCCACACATTTCCCTGGCTTTTTGCTTTCATTATCCTGTGAAGGTGTAATTCTGACAGCCCCGTTATCTGGTAGAATGCTTCACTTTGTCTTCTCTCCCAGCCCCCACTCCGTGGTAGTGGTTCCAGTGCGTAGGGGTATCCATAACCCTTGGTGTTACCCCTCATTGAGGGGCTTTGTGCCCTGGTGCCAGCTGGCTAAAATCCTGGCTGCTGAGAGACTTTGAAGTCTTTTTCTGGACTGAAATGAGAGCGAGAGGGAGTGCTGTGCTATTGAGAGAGCTGGCTAAAATCCTGGCTGCTGAGAGCCTTTGAAGTCCTTTTTCTGGACTGAAATGAGAGCGAGAGGGAGTGCTGTGCTCACAGGTGCCTTGGGGTTCTTTGGAGGAGTCATCACACATACAGAAATGAGAAACCTGCCATTAGTCTCACTGAATCCCCAAAAGCTGTTCAGCAAGGGTTTAAACTAAATGATCATAGATGAAAGGGAATATCCTCCAGCAGGCAAACAATAGCTTAGAGATACAGACAAGGAGTGGGAAGGAGTTTATATTTTGAGGGTGATCCCTCCCTGAGGAGTCCATTAGGACTCTGCGAGGGCTTCTGCTGTTCTATGCATCAGAAGTTGTATGAGTGGCCTCAAAACTCTTCATGTAACTGTTACTCGGCGTATAACAATAGAAGTTGGCTGCAGATTGTTGTAGGAGGGCACAGTGATGGTGAGCAGGTGATAAACTGGCAGATGAAGTTTAGTGTTGTTTAAACAAAGTAATGCACGTAGGACTGTCCTGGTTCCCTTCCAAACTCTATGTAGTGATGGATATATACTATTGGTTGGATGAAGGATCTTTGAGCTGTAACAGATACGTGACTGAAAATGCCATCATAGTGTTCAGTAACAGTCAAGAAGCAAATTAAATGTTAGGTATTGTTTTGGAAAGGAAGAGAGCAGACCAGAGAGCATCATTAGGCCACCACTGTAGTCATGGTACATCTGCGCATTGGGGATTGGGGCAACAGGCTCCAGAAGGCATTTCCAGTTAGGCCCAAAGGGTGGTGAGTGGATAATGACCAGAGGTTTGGAATGACTGACTTGTGAGGAACTGAATCTCCTCCCCACAGAAGAGGAAAATTTCCAGTTAGGCCCAAAGGGTGGGGAGTGGATAATGACCAGAGGTTTGGAATGACTGACTTGTGAGGAACTGAATCTCCTCCCCACAGAAGAGGAAAACTAAACGTTCAGTAGGACTTACAATACAAGCAGAAAAAGGAATTAATAGAAAATAACAAATAGTAGGTTCAGAACAAAAGCATAAACTTCGTAGTTCTCATAGTTAACCCGAAACTCATTCCATGTTGTGGAAAAAATTCTACTGGACTCCAAAAGTAGCTGGACAAATTTGCAGGAGGAAAATCTGTTGAGGAGGGCATTATCTTTAACTGAAAATCGGTGAGCCTTAAGTTGCAGCAGGATGGGGAAGGATGCTGGAAAACAGTATTGCCACATACCTGCCTTGCTCTTAAACTCTCCTCTGGGCATCAGCTGTTCCGATGCCAAGGGCTGAGCTAAGTGTTCCCCCAACCTGCCCTGGAATAGCCATTCCCATGTTATGTTCACTGAGCCCAGGGGTAACCTCCAGGTGTTTCCACAACAAAGAATCAGCTTCACTCTTTTGGGAGAGTCTCTGTTGGTACACAGTGATCTTGAGTTTCCCCCCTGTTCTTGCCAGGGAGGGCTTGTCTTGCACAGGATTGCTTTGCTTATTAGAGTTCAGTGGAAGTTTAGTTTTTTGTTTTCCTCATCTCTCTTCTGTCTTGTTTAGTGACTTCTGCTCCAAGGTGAAGAATACAATCTACTGCAATGTTGAGCCATCTGACTCCAACATGCTATGGGAACCAGAGTTCATGATTGACACCATTGAGAATCCATCTGCACATAACTTTACCTACACCAACCTGGGCAAGAGCCTCAATGAGAATCCAGCCAACCGCTACAGTTTCGTCTGTAATGCACTTATGCACGTGTGTGTGGGACACCACGATCCAGACAGGTGAGAGGCAGAGCTTTCATGGTTTTATCGAGATAGTAATACCTTTAGGTGAGGTTTAGAAAGCCCATTGCCATTCCTTGGCTGTCTGGAGGTGTGAGGAGTAAAGAGCCACGGCCGGGGTCCCTTAGAGAGTCACTGACCTGATGGCACGCGCGAGTAACAAAGCTGACAGTCTGCTTTTTTCATGATTTATTTATCAGGGTGAACGACATCGCTATCCTGTGTGCTGAGCTAACGGGCTACTGCAAGTCTCTGAGCGCCGAGTGGCTGGGGGTGCTCAAAGCTTTGTGCTGTTCCTCCAATAACGGGACCTGTGGCTTCAATGATCTCCTCTGCAATGTTGATGCAAGTGCAAACATACAAATGGGGAAAAGGAATTGAAGCAGGAGTGGAGGGATCCCTTGGGAGAAGGCAGAAATGAACAAGGGGTGGAGGCTTTGTCTTCTGAGGACAGGGGACAGGCTTTGAACACCGGGGCTACCTTTTGGGGTTTGTTGCAGCCTGGGCTGATCATGGATATTGACCTGGGGTTATGGGCCCTTTTCCCCCCCTCCCCAGCTCTTAGGCAATCTGAGGAATTGCTGACAGAGGGAATGAGGCAGAGACTGTTGTGATCACTGGCTGATCTCCTCTCTTCCAGGTCAGTGACTTATCTTTCCATGATTCCCTGGCCACCTTTGTTGCCATCCTCATTGCCCGGCAGTGCTTGCTGCTTGAGGACCTGATTCGCTGTGCTGCTATTCCCTCACTCCTCAATGCTGGTAAGTGTGTCCCTGCAGAAAGCTGGGCTTGGGTCCCAGTTCTGGCTCAAAGTCTTGTGCTTGATGGGTATTTGTGAACCACATAGTTGTGAAACATGCCTCCAATACTTCTTTTATAGAATGGTACTTAAGAATTGAATGTTTTACTTTAGAGAGTTTCTGGCTTTGTGGTTTCTGTCAAAAACTGGTTGTGCTAAGGCTTTTCAACATCTTGCTCTCTGGAGTTTGTGTGCAAGCTGAAATCAGCACAGAGATGTTATCAGCCACGCTGTCTGACCAGTGTGCTCAGCCCAGAACTCCAGCAGTACTCCTCCCACTGTTCAGCTTAGCACTTTGGCTAGAGCAGCCAGCTGACCAGTTGGGCCTACATACTCTGCCACCAGCCTTCCTAGCTTTGCTCTGGGGACTGCAGCATCCAGACTCTGATGGGGTGAAGTTGGGAAGATGGAGCAAGGAGAATGCAGTGCATGTCGTCGGGGATAACACCGATGGATTTGCTCACTCGCATGTTAATTGCTGCATGTGCTCCATATTTGTAACTACAATAAGGCTGCTGAGCTTCTCAATGGGCTGCTGCAGGGCAGTGCACTGTGAATAGCTTTTGGATTGAGAATCAGCTGTCCTGGTGCTTGAGAAATCTCAGTCGGCTGTTTTCTTTACATAGCCTGCAGTGAACAGGACTCAGAACCAGGAGCACGTCTGACCTGCCGGATTTTACTCCATCTGTTTAAGACTCCGCAGCTGAACCCATGCCAGCAGGATGGCAGTAAGTGAATGACAGTAAAGCCTTTCTTTATTGTGAAAGTACTGAGGCTTTTGCACCTTGAGAAAAGAGATACTGGACCCTATGATTAGAGATCATGACCTGCTTGCTTTGAATAAAGCAGGCAAAGCCTGATACACTGCTTTCTGCAGAGGACAAGGAACAATATCCTTCCGTTTATGTCCCTTCATGGTAGCCAGGCATTTTGGGGAGGAGGCCCTTGGAGGTAGCAAACCAGCCAGTAGAGGTGGCCATGCTGTCACTAAGCCATTAAAATAATGATCACTTTTTTTTTTTTTTATGTCTAAGGCTTTGTATAGCCTCTTAACTTGGTGCCAGAAGCTGCTATTTTACAGCACTCCCTTTTTGTGTGATGGTGGAAACAGTCCAGGAGGCTCTGTTCTTGGCTCCTCATCAGTATCCTGATAGCTGGGATCTCTAAATCTAGCCTGCGTTCTAGGTTAGGGTGCTGTTGAAGCTTGGAGTTCATGACACAGGCACTGCTCCCCGTTTGGATTTCATGGTTGAGTTGTCACAGCGTGGTTGGCACTACGCTTTGTGAAACGTAATTAAATTGACCCCGTGTTATGGCTGGGAAAAGAACTAGCCTGGGGATTCTCAGAGCTGGGCTCTGCCATGCTGGCTGGCACGTCCTTCAGGCAGCTCTGGAGCTCTGGTATTGCCCTTCTCCACTGTCCTCTCTGCAGACAAACCCACGGTGGGGATCCGCTCTTCCTGTGACCGTCACTTACTGGCAGCGTCCCAGAACCGCATCGTGGACGGAGCGGTCTTTGCAGTGCTGAAGGCTGTCTTCGTTCTGGGTGTGTACCTGTCTTAGCCTCAACCTGTAAGAATGTTTTCTGGGGAGTTGGGAGAAGGGCACTGTGCTGCATGTGTTGGCTCTGCAGAAAGCCAGAGGAGATCCGTTTTGGTGAGTGTGTGGCTTGTCTGAAGCCCTCTGGTTGAGGTGTAAACGTGCTTTGTGTTTCTTAGCTGCACAGAGATCACTGATGGCAGAGAGAGCTTACAAATCCTAAAATTTGGGTGGGTCAGGCTTTGGGTTTAACACTGATGGTTAAGTGACGCTTGTGCTTTTTTTTTTTTTGTAGGAGATGCAGAACTGAAAGGCTCTGGCTTTTCCCACCCTGGAGGTGTGGATGACCTGATGGATGATGAGCTGGGCACCAGGAAGGCTGGTGGTCGGGTGGTAACTGTAGAGACAGCCAGCTTGGATATTTATGCCAAGTATGTGCTGAGGAGTATATGTCAACAGGTGAGTCTGCCCCGTCTCTAGGTTTGTCCTTATCCCTTCTGCAGACGGATATATCCCATGTGACTTCCTGCAGGCATTTCCTTGGAACACCAGTAAGGGACCAGTGATGGTTGTGCCACATGATGGCGCTAAGGATTGCTCGCCATTAGCCAAAAAATAGAGGCCAACACTGGCAAGAATGAGGTGTTCCAGTATGCAGGGACTGCACATCCCCTTTGCTTTGGCAACAGCACAGGGCTCACGGCCAAGGAGGGTTTGGGGAGCACTTTGCTGAGATGTGTGCTGGAGGCAGAGAAGATAAGCATGAGAGGGACAGGTTGTTGAAGTGATAAATGGTGCCTTTCAGAACTAAGCTGAAGTGTTGCTTGCAGCCAGGCTGTTAATGTATCCCTGGGCTTTGCAGTGCCCTGTTTAGTTAATTAAAGGAACAACAACAAAAATCTTTTGCTTAGCCTAATCTGACAGCACCGATATTTCTGCTCCTTTGTGGAAAATGAACATTTGAGGAACTGAAACCTGGCTAATAAAGTAGTTGGTTGCAGAGCGGAGTGGCTGTTACCAGTACTATGTGAAAGTGGGTGTTGAAGGGTGTCCTTGGCCTTGGTTGCCAATTTATTCTGTCAACAGGAAAGATGCAGAGTTACAATTTGAAACCTGTACTCTGTTACTAATGTGTAAACACAACATGTTGGTACTGGGTTGTCCTCATGCTTTATGACGCTGCCGTTTATTGGTTGGCTCACTCTGTAGCAATGTTACTGGGCTGCCAAAGAAGAACTGGAGCCACCTATTTACAAGCATAAATTCAACATACTTGATGTTACTGAAACCCGACTGGAGCATTGACAGAAGTAGATATTCCCTTGCTGGTCCTGGTCTATGTAGGAAGGACTCACAGTAGGAAGAAAGCACGTCTGTGTACAGGAGGGAGTAGCAGGGTCAGGTATCACTGCTCATACCCATTGCTGGCAGCGCTGGTTATGTAGGAGTCAGCATTCCAGGAGACCCCAGTGAGGACCACCAAATTGTGCCAGAGCTTCTGCAGCTGTAAAGAGCTGGTAAAATGATATGTTTAATATTAGCACCTCCAGCGTGAATGGTGGATGCGGCAAAACTCACACTATCAATTCTGATTTGTCATGGAATGCCCTAAACTAAAGGTTATGATTTCTCCGAGTCAAAAAATGTTGCATCTTGTATTCAGGTGTATATTTTGTAATAGACTTCATCATGAGGGGGTGGGGAAAAGGAACAGATAATAGAATTAAGTTAAAGGTTTCTTAGGTGCAAATGATTATGATATAGTTGCTGGTCTGCCCTTTAGCCTGTTTAAAGTAATAAATGTAATTGTGACTGGCCTTTTGAAAAGGTTAATTTATAAGAGCTGTGATAAACTACAGTGGGAACCGAGAGCGAGGCTTGAGTCAAAGGTGCCACCTGAATCTGGAGATTGGGATGGTGGAATTGAGCACTATGAGCTTGAAAAACGTGCTCAGAGTGCTCTCTTGTGAAGAGGCAGATGAGGGACTCTGTGTTGGCAATATGAAGCCTTCAGCAGTGGCTGCTTTGTAAGGAAATGTTGCAGACAGAGAGGCTAGAAGTCCCTCAAGGTTGAAGACGGTAGTTGACTTCATATTTAATTGTGAGATTATACCAATAAAAGGGTCAGAGAGGAAGTCTGAATGCTTGTAGGAAGCTGAGCAAGTGACCAAAAGGGTCTTCTCAAGGATAGGCACATTACATACGCGAGGAAGAGACACTTCAAGAGGTGATGATGTAGCAACACTGAAGGGGAGAAATGCAGTAGGTGTTGGAGATACCACCAGATCACGTCTGTTGGCAAAGCAGGAACTTCACCTGGGGTGAAGCCAAAAATCTAGGCTGAGGTTTCACAAGGATTTATAACCAGAGATTTAGCCTTTCTGATCTTTGTGCCCTACCTTGTGCTTAGAGTGCTCTCTCCTGCTGAGAGGGACTGTTCCCAGCTTTCCATGCTTGGCACCAGCAACTCTGCTTTGTGAACTGTACCCTCATCTCTTCTCTGGCTGTCACTTGTCAGTGGAAGAGTTCTCTGATCAGACTTGCTCTGCAGCTGCAGAAGTGCTTACGTAGCAGTCCTCTGTAGACTTTAATTTCATGAATTTGCCTAATTGATTTTTCAATATGAAAAAATCCTGCAGTAACGAATGCTTGCAGGTTGGTTGTCAGTTGTGTGAGGTACCTACCTCCTGTTTGTTATGGACACTGCTGCCTTTATTATTATCATACATTTAGGGACCACCAACTGAAACGGAGAGGTTGACAGTGATGGTTTTCTGTCTACCTTCTCATGATTTGTGACTTTATAAATGACTTGTGTCCAGTCAGTTGTTTACCCTTCCAAGCTTTGAGGAGTAAAGTCATTGTTTTTTACTAAGGCTGGCAGTGTGTTTTCCATCCCTATTTGAGAAGTTGGGGATGTGCTTTTCCTTAAGACATGTTCTAGTTTTTAGCCTTAGCTGCAGCCCTGAGTTATTTAATTTAGGACAGCTCCAGGGCTTTGTTGTGCAGGAAATAGACCAAATGATTTTAAGTGATTTCTTCTGATCTTTTGAACCCACGCAGCATTGTTGATGGAACCTGGGCATGGCAGTGCCTGTGTGCTATTAAATCATACCAATATTTTATCAAAAGAAACAGCAGCTACTACGTTTCACCACTGCTGACTTGTCAAAGTTGATGTTTCCTCTGTTGTGATTGCTGTGCTGTGCCTGACGCCTGCTGAATCAGGATAGCACAGTTCATGAAGAGAAATAATTATCAGGCATAACTGCGTACTAATAAGGCTTTTGTGAGTTTGATGTGTTCCCTGCATCTCCCCGAGGCTGGAGGCAGGGGTGCTGGTTTGGGATCAGACATCAGTTCCTCTGTGCTGACTCTGCCCTCGTCTTGCAGGAGTGGGTAGGTGAGCGATGTCTGAAGTCCCTCTGTGAAGACAGCAACGACTTGCAGGATCCTGTCCTGAGCAGCACGCAGGCCCAGAGGCTGATGCAGCTGATCTGTTACCCACACCGGCTGCTGGACAATGAGGAAGGAGAAAATCCTCAGCGGCAGAGGATTAAACGCATCTTACAGGTGCAGGCTCCTGGCAGAATCTGAGAACATCCTAGTAATTGCCTAATGTCACGTTAGAGTGGGGTTGCCCAAAATACCCACACTCTGAGGGGTCTGACACTCCTTGTCATGAGAGCTGAGGGTGTGGGTTGACACAGTTTGAACTGAGATAAGGACTCACATGATGTGTGCATGTGTTGCAGAATCTGGACCAGTGGACCATGAGGCAATCCTCGCTGGAGCTGCAGCTCATGATTAAGCAGACAGCCAGCAATGTGAGTGTCTGCTCAGAGGGACCATGCGGGGGGGGTGTTGCCAGTGGTGAAGTGGCTGCTTGGGAGGTGGCTGCTTGGGAGGTGGCCTGGCAGAAGTGAGAATAGGAAGGGAGTAAGCAGAGAAGGACTCAGGCCTGTGAAAGCTGAGCACGAGAAGGATGCGATGAGTCTGAGGCCCAAAGAGCAGCAGCTGCAGGGAAGTTGGCAAACTGGGTTTGTACTGAGTTGCGACGTTGAAATGTGGTGGGTTGCTCTCAGAGAAGAACTTGGCTGTCTTTTCTTCTCTATCTCCAGGAGATGAATTCCTTGTTAGAAAATATAGCCAAGGCCACTATTGAGGTGTTCCAGCAGTCAGCAGAGACCAGCTCTGCTAGCTCTGCTGGCAATGGAGTCAACAATATCAGTAGCTCAGCAAGTGCTGCACCTGCCAGCAACAAATCCAAACCCATCCTCAGGTAGGTGTAGTCCCACCATGCAGCTGCCGTGCAGACAACTCCGGATCATGGGTTGGATTGCAAACTGCTTTTCTCCCCCTGTGTTGTCACAGCTCCCTGGAGAGATCAGGAGTGTGGCTGGTGGCCCCTCTGATTGCCAAGCTTCCAACATCAGTGCAGGGCCATGTGCTGAAAGCTGCTGGAGAAGAACTGGAGAAAGGGCAACATCTGGGGTCATCGTCCCGCAAAGAGCGGGACCGCCAGAAGCAGAAGAGGTGAGTCCTGGGGAAAGGGCAGGTGATCTTGCTGTGCTGATCCCCCAGCCTGGCAGCATGGCTTCATCTTGGTTCTCTCTGCAGCATGTCCCTCCTGAGCCAGCAGCCATTTCTGTCGCTGGTGCTAACATGCTTGAAAGGACAGGATGAGCAGCGGGAAGGCCTCCTCACCTCTCTGTACAGTCAGGTCCAACAGGTAGGTGCCTTGCTTCTCCAGGAGGCAGGCTAGTGGGCATGTCCTTGGGGATGTTGTCTGTCTGCCCCTGTACTGGGCACTGGTGAGGCCTCACCTCGAGTACTGTGTCCAGTTTTGGGCCCCGTACCATAAAAAAGACATCGAGGTGCTGGAGCGGGTCCAGGGAAGGGCGACAAAGATGGTGAGGGGTCTGGAGAATAAGTCTTATGAGGAGAGGCTGAGGGAACTGGGGTTATTCAGCCTGGAGAAGAGGAGGCTGAGGGGAGACCTTATTGCTCTCTACAACTACCTGAAAGGAGGGTGTAGAGAGATGGGGGTCGGTCTCTTCTCTCAAGTCACAGG